CTTGTAATTGCAGGAGATAGCTTAGCAGCAGCCCTGGGATATTTCTGTGTTCTGATTGTGCATACCCATTGTGTGCATGGCTGGAGGTAGTGGGAAGACAAAAGGAGTAGGCTACTTCCAGCAAACAGAACATCTCACCCTACCCACTACTGACTTCCTCTGAGACCTTTGGAGGCTGACTTGCTAGTAGCAGGCTGTAGAACAAATAGTCTCAACAAGCCCATTTTTGACAAGCAAACTGCAGAGGAAAGCAGAGTATTGTACTGTGTAGTCCTTCCTTTCTACGAACTGTGAAGTTTTTACATAGGTTATGAAAATAGTTGGATAGGTGTTCATATTTGTTTGTGTTAAAATTCAGTTTATTATGGGTTCTTAGGAAGTGTCTTGTTGGAATACCTTGATGGCCATTAGAATGAAGAGCAAGGGTAATGACATTATCTCTCTGCTTGTCTTCACAAGGACAAAACTAGATGTCACTTCTCTGAGAAGGCTGAAAATCAGTGGTATAGGCAGAGTTTGCACTTGTATTGAGGGAGATGAGGAGAAGGATAGCTGGAGTTCAGTTTTTGACTGAAAAAGGTATCTTATTGCATGGCTTTTGTCCTTTATTTGACTTCATGTCTTCTCTAATATGAAAAATCATTTTTTAAATGTAGCATCAAGCAATGAATCTTTTTCTGTACACTCATTAAATTATTTGCAGCTGCAAATACATGGTACATTTATATGTTAAAGTTAGATAATTAATAAACAATTAATTATTTTAGAAGTTTATAAACAAATGAAAAGCAATGAGATCAACTGCCAAGTATAAATTGGTAGTGCACTGGTAAGGGAGAACTAGAAGGGACACCAGGGAAAAAAAGAGATTGCAGTTCATTTGTGAAGAACCAAGTATGGAAAAATATGATATGAATTGTTAGTATTGGGCAGAATACTGCGTACAGCAGTGCATGAGGAGCCAAGAATTTAGCATATAGAAGATGGAGCAATAGCAGTAGTATTAAGAAACAGAACCAACTTATAAGACTAAAGTGAGTTCAGTTGATCATAATGTGAGATGTGGACGGTGCACTAAGTCACCTCTGTGGCTGATTCAGTGACTCAGAACTGCATCTGATTCTTCTAGGTTGATGTATACTCAAGCCTTATTTACTGTGCAGGGATTTAGTCATGGGTGATGTGATGTAGTCGTGGCTGCCTGTCAGAGTTTGAATGTTCCACTGATATTAATGGTTTTACCCTTCAAACTTAATTAGATGTTTGGTGGTTTGTTTTGAATAGCCTTGGGAAATATTCCTAAAGTGTTTCTGAAGTTTAAAGCCTACACAGCCTGATTCCCCACCCCCTCCTTCTTACGTGCTTTGTGCTTTCTGAGCTCAGAACCGATTCAGACTAACTGTAGAAGTTCTGTGATTTCAGTTGAAACTGCAGCAGTGTCTCTGTTATTTTTGACATGGTATGCAGAACAGTGAAGAAATGCCATTAGTAGCGCCAATAACAAACCTGTTTTGAGGTCACATGATGTCACATGGAAACTATACAGAAGTAAAGTTTGGCTTTATACAGAAGGCTGCTTTAAGCAGACTCTCTCTAATCTCTTCCTGAGATCCCTTGCCTCATATCATATCTTCCTCTTTGTAACACGGAAAGCAGAAATCCTGAGGTTACCCGCAGTAGTTATATTTGTCTCCTACTTGTCGTGTTCTCTTCAACTTCTCAGTCCTGACTTTCTTCCTCTACATGAATTTCATCACCCTGACTCCCTAGTTCTTCCCTCCTGCATTTTGGCCAGGTTGCTTTGTTTACTATGCTGCCTGGGCTTAATAGTGGAAAGGAATGTAAGGGAGATGGGTATCTCAGGGAAATAGTAGTCGAAGGTTTGGAGTCGTCTGTCTTGTTCGGTTTTTCTCATCATGCTTTATCTGCCTGCTTTTCCAAGTGGGGTTGCTGGGAAAGGCCAGTTCAGCCCTTTAGCTCTGTAGGAAGCAGGATAATTGCTTCTGAGGACACACAGGATCTGATTAGCAGTTGGAGTTGTTCGGAGGTGGAATATGCATAGGGCAGATTGGATCTTTGGTGAATTAAGCTGTCAGTGCTTAGCAGCTTTCTGCTGAGTATGTGCAAATTGGAATCCAGCAAAAGTCTCAACTTGTCTGACTGGGTTGAATTTTGACAGGGGCAGCAAGCAGTGTATTTTTAAATTTTTTTTTTCTACTTTTGTTAGAGGAACATTGTTTTGCCAAATTCCATGTCCTTTCCTCAAAACATGTAGATTCTGGATCATAGTTGTGAAACAGCTGTGTAGGAGCTTTTATGTTTGTATTTTAAGCTAAGCAAAATAGATGCTTTCTTTAAATTACAGGAAAAGTATCTGAAGAAAGGTGGAATGATTTCCATTTAAACTTAGCTCTTTTTTTCCCCCTTCACCTTTGCGAAGGGGAAGAAGAAACTGACTCATCAGACACTTTGCTTATTTGAGCAGTTAAAGTTTGGCAATATTAGATACAGCTTTGAAAACTGTCTTATGACCAGACAATATAAAAATCAATTTTTATAAGGCACAATATTTTAATTTATTCTCTGTGTGGATACTATGGTGAATTTTAGACACCAGTAGCTTTCCCTTATAGTTGCTGTACAGCTTAAACAAAACAGTAATATACCTTTTATCTTGTTAGAATTATTGCTTATTCTGAAGCATACTGTATTCACAGCTAAATTTTACAATTATATTCCCTGCTGGAAAGCATTAGGGAGTCTTCCAGTGTAGTGTAGTGCCTTGCTTCTTATGTAAGATGAATACCTCAGTGTGTGCATGTGTGCATAAATGTGGATGCATTACTTCAATACAGAAAAAACAATGTTATTGCTTATTATAATGCAGCTTGTTTTGATGTTATTGATTAGTGAGGAGTTATGGGGAATCTTGTAGATACATAAAGTTTAGATAGAAAAGATATGTAACTGATAAATGTGATTTTTTTCTAAAAAAAATTTGTTATTCCATACTAAGGCAATAAATGCTGTCATCTCTTTCAGATGTAATTGTATTTTGCTTACAGCTCAAAACAGTCTAAGTGATCTTTTGATGCCTTTGTGTTGCAGGAAGCATGAAAGAAAACTGAAGCATGATGAAATACGTAAGAAGTATGGTACGTGTTAATCTTGTCTTCATACTCTGTATCTAAATTGATTCCTTTTTCTTAATTATTATTACAATTCACAGCAGAAACAAGCTGCTTTATGAGCAGCAGAAGTAATCAAGCCTGGTTTCCTACTGATGCATGTCTCCTGACACCTGAACACCTGATCTCAACATTATTATGCTCTTGTTCTTTTCCCACACTGACTCTCACACTGGGTAGGAGACAGTGTGCTGGATGGAGTGTTTGCTTGGGATGAGCATTTAAATACATTGATTAAAATAAGTGGTTGTTTTTTTCTGTTCCAAAGGAAGAATACTGATTTTGGGGGCTGCTTTCTTTCTTTGTGCTTGAACATGATAAATGGATCTAGTTGAACTTTGCCACTAGACTCAGAGCTATCGAAGGATGATAGACTAGGAGATAGCAAGCTTTTTAAATCAAGCTTGAAAAAGATGGGTACAGAATGCAGCCTGACATAGAGATTAAAATTATTTTTTTCTTGGTTTTTAAGTGGAACTGTGGTCCACTAGTAGAAGAATATCACAAGACTCTAGGACCTGCTGTGTTGTATGGGAGGCTTTTATTATGTAGGCTTGTCAGTGCTTGCACTTTTCATTTGATTTGTTCATAGGGTTAATGGTAACTGTGTATTCAGAGACAGATATGCTAAAACTGTGCTGCATTTTTTATTATGTAAATTGTACTAATGTCAGAGAAGGTGATTCCAGGGGTCTGAACAGTCACTCAAAGCTGTTAATTTTCATTCTCTTGTTAAACTGATTGGCAGAGTCTGGGAATGCCTTTATGAATTTTCAGCCTGCCCTTTGACTGATGCAGAAGTGATACAGACAATCTCTATGGGGAATTATCTCTCTGGGGAACTTTGCAGAAGTATGCTCCTTTGCTGGAATGGAGGAGAACTCCACTGTGGAGCTTCTGCTGCAGGAGGAAAAATGTTGTAGAAACTAGAAGTAATTTTCGTTAAACATCAGTCATTGAATCTTGGTCCTGTGGTATTTTATAGGGTAATTGACCCTGTATCCCAACCACAATTCAGTTTCAAGAGGTGTTTGAGTGGCTAACAACAATAATTCAGATGTAAAAAAGCAAACAAAATCCAAACAACAGCATAAAACTGCACAGGCTTTTTGTTTTTGTTTCTCCTTAGAAGAGACCTCAGGGTCAATCTCAACAAATTTGAATCGTTGGCATAGATCTGGTGAAGAATTTATGATAGTGGCTGTGTCCCTGCAATAACTTGCAGCCCTCTGTGCAGAGGATTGGTATCACACTGCCTGTATCAAAGTGCTGCACTGGGGTTAAATGATGTTTCAGAAGGCTGAATTCAGTTATATTATGCTTGTGAAACCAGTTCACTTGTCTCTGGATGGCCCTACATTTTAGTGAAGACAGTTCTCTCTTCAGTCCTTACCTTTCAGACCTTTGTGGAATGCTTTGCTGTGTCTTGTTGGAGTACTTGAGTTTTGTGAGCATATGAATTGTGTAATACAAAGCCTCTGGAATGCATCCACCAGATTCAATGTATCTTGCTTTAGCTATATTGTGTACACAGTCATATGAAAGCTAGTGTCATTTTGCCTTCACTTGAAGCATGGTAGTCTATCAATGACTTAGAGACAAGTTCATCTATTCATTGTGTTAATGGAAGGTGTTCCTTCTTATCAGGAGTCAGACATAACTCATTGCTTCCTGCAGTTATGTTTTGCAAGGCAGTTTGCCTGCATGAGATCATAATTGGGATATAAAACTTAAATTTCAATTGCAAACTTCTATATAAAGTTTCTTTATTGCCAGGTTTGCTTTATTGCCTAAGCAAAGATTAATTTATATTATCGGATATATCAATTTGAGGCCTGGATTCTTATAATTAATTTTTGTCCTAAAGAAAAACCAAACTCTTACATAAGTAATTTGGCACATCCTGAAAGGATGTATGTAACTGAGGAAAAATGAAATACAAATTATGTAAACATTTTGAAATCCCTAAATGGTATTGCTGATGTTTATCTGGGTTATATCCTGATAGTGTGCAGACAAATGATTGTCAGAATAATTCAGAGAGACACAGGGTAGCCTTCGATCTTATGTCCTCATTTTGTACTGTCTAGAAAATACAGATGTTAGCATGTTAAATGTAACCTAATAAAAATTGCTGCAAATAATTATGGAGGCACTAGATTATTTTACACTCTTACACACTGCAGAGAGGATTCTCAGTTAAGTAGGCATGGATGAGTGGCAGAATGACAATGACTTTCTTAACCTGACTTTGTAGATTAAGATGATCATGCCCGAAATTTCAGTATTTGGTTGGCTTTAAGGGAATGCCTTTTCCCATTTCATCCACCAGCTTTCCATACCCCATTTAAATGGTAATTACACATTTATAATGCATTGCAGGTGTCACTCTAGCCACAGTCCTTCGGGAGCATTGGAAGCAATAGAGAGCTTTAGCAACCAGGAGTACACACTTTGAATTGTTTCTTTGTTGCACAATTTGATAGTATTTTTCATTTGCTCACATATATGAATGCAATATGATTACACAAATTATATGTTGACTCTTAGGAAAAAATTTAAAGTAGAATTCAGAGTACTTTGCAGCTTGTATAGTATACAAAGGAACTACAGAAT